CAAGGTTGAATGGTCATAAACTACTACAAGACCGTTTCAGGCTGGACATAAGGAAGAATTTCTTTACTGTCTGAGCCTCCAAGGTCTGGCATAGCCTGCCATTGGAGGTGGTTCAAGCACCTACATTGAACACCTTCAAAAGTAAATTGGATTCTTATCTTGCTGGGATCCTATGATTATGATTAGGGCTGGACTTGATGATCTTCCGAGGTCCCTTCCAGCCCTAATGTCTGTGAAATCTGTGAAATCTCTTACCCCTCTCCATGGTCCATCAATGAAGCCTTCACCACCCTCTCTTCACACTAACTAAACATTTACCTGGTACCACCCTGTGCTTGTGTGTACTGTGTGCTGTTGGTGAGTACCAAATCGTCTCTGAATCGAATTGGCAACCAAAGCTTCGCATACCCCTAGTGGATATATCCTGCCACAGAATCTGGAGCTCCAGGGCCCCAGTAGGGCAAGTCACTGGTGGCAGGAGGTTGAATGTTCTGACACAACCCTGCTTGTTCTGCACCCACTGTCCCCACGGCCAGGCCCACCAATGCCTCTGCTGCAGCTGCCACTATCCCTACCACTGTCACCCCATGCCCAAGGCCGTATCCAGTGCCCCAATGTCCATATCCAGCATGAGGCACACAATGGGTTTGATATCCCTGCTGTAGTGTCCTTGCAATGATTGCAGTCAGTACAATTGGGTTTTTTTAGAATCTTATTTTAAAGATGAAAATATCAAAATGTCTCAATGGCAATAATATGTTTTCTCTTTGTAATACATTCAAATTCTGTCAGGACAAGCCATCTCTGTTTCTAAAGTCTGTCTCTTATCTATACTGACACCAAAAGGTTCTTAGAGATCTTCGGACCCTTAGAAGGAAAGCTGCCAAACAGTAGCTCTAATTAGTACAGGCATTTTGCAGTAGTTTGTAGCACTGCAACACTTGCGGGGTTAACACTTGCCTGCACTGTCTCCTCTGCCAATTCTCTGCCTTTGAGTTTCTCCTAAGTGGAGCACCCGATGCAAACCCACTACACTTTGTAGAGCATAGGGGCAGCAAGTGTGGTTAGCTCGCCTAGAAAGAGGTTCTTTTTCTCCCTCCCTATGCCAGGGCTGCTTTAGGGCTAATTACAGTCTCAATTTAAACATATGCTTTTTTTTTTTTCTTTGCTTACTTTCAAAGACTGACTTCTAACTTCTTTTGGAAATTTTTGCAGTTTCTCACTGAATTAAAGTACGAGTGATTTATGAAGAAAAAAGAGATTAATTATTGTGTAAATACCCTGTTTCCTAAATGTAGATTGACCTGATAATGAAAAAAATCTATGCCAATTATCTTTGTGCCTTTCTAAAGTTCCCTGATCCATGGTATATGACAGAACTCTTTTGAGAGAAATGATTAGTGCTAGTTTCAAAAAAAAAGTCAGTGAACTTCATAGTGTGTCAGAAGACACCCTGCTACACAGGCTGGACATTGTGGTCTACAAGTATGAAATGAGGAAATATGAAATATCTACTTATGACTCTGAACTCACATTCCAGGAGAATATGGTTCATCATGGTTTCTGTAGAAACTCCTATCAGGCTGTCCCAAGGGCTGAAGGCATACACAAGAATGTACAAAATAACAGAGTTTTTTCCAAACAAACACCAGGTAATTGTAACTGTTTCTACACCTAGGATATAAGTCACTTGGAAGTGATGTTTTTATTCTAAAAGCAGGTAGTGTTCACCCACTGTGTATGTACAGAGGACACATTGAATACCCTGAACACAGAAGAAGACAGCTGCATTCAGAGCCAGTGGAAAACAGTGCAGGGGAGAACTAGTCAGAAGTAAAAATTATTTTATATAGCATGTGTTAGTGCTTTAACCTGGATTCCTGGTGACACCATTACTGGAAATAAAGCCACATTACATAGAGGTGGATACAAGAACTGTTACAATCACTTGACTCATTTAAAAGTACTATAGCAATTTCAGTCATCTTCTTTTGCAACCTACCAGAGTTGAACTTCAGACTTCAAGGGAGAAACTATGATGGATACTATTGACATGCAGATTGAACCATGGTAAAATAGTTAGAGGCAACTTTTGTGCACAGTGATGATTAGGTATCCATTTGAAGCTGATGGTGATTTTTAAAAAATCTGACTGAGCTAGCCAGAAATTCACATGATGTGCAATCTGCATGCATATTCTCTTGTTTTCAAGAGGGAACTGGGTAGCTTGAAAGGCAGCACTGTAAAATAAACCATAAAGCCAAGTAACCACTCAAGAAATACATAGCCTGAAGAGCACCAGAGCACTGTAAGTCAAACACATCTTCATTGTCTAGTGAAAACAAAAATTATGTCACTTGCACAAGGAATGTGCAGTTGCCACTGTACATGTGTTTTGGGGTGCCAAAAGATGGTGCCATCAGAATCTGTGGAAAAGATGAAGCAGTAGAAAGTGTAGTGATATGAACAATTTTCTCTCTGAACTTGCTTGTATTTAGAACAACTTTACCTCTACAGCCAAGGCTGCTAAGCTTGATGGCAAATGGACAAAGATTGAAAAACAAAAAAAAAAGTTGCCAATGAACACTATGCTTTAACGTTTGGGGTGTCAGCTTTAGTTTTGTAGCAAAAATCTATGAACCACAAAAGAACAATGTTACTTAAGCAAAATGCTAATGGATCTTAAGAATTTAGATGCTACTTAAGAGGATTATAATCAAAATTGTTGAAAACAAATATGTATTTTTCCACAAATCCATCATGTATTTAGGTCACGTTATTAATGCAAATATTCTTCAGAAGGTGTCAGCAAAGATCAAGGCCATTGTGAGCAACCAAGTTACTGAAAATGAATGAATTCTTGCTGGGAAGGGGGATATTGAACTTTTAGGGATGTTGCATTTCTCACCTGTACTGTAATGATCTAGGGGAGAAAACAGAACTTAGATAAATGTGGCAAAACTTAAAAGATGGTAGGATGTGTTAGACTTGCAAGTTGGATATGATCACAATTGTCAATGCAACTGCCATGTAATACCACCCCTTTGACATTCAACATTATGCCCTATTAACAAAAGGACACTAAAGAAAGCCAATGAACACACATGGAAGGAACCTGGAAGTTTCCTCACAATGTTATAACGATAAGGATTCATGCTTTTCACAGACCATTTAACTCCCATCTATCTTTGGACCTCACATGGGCAATATGTTTTTATTTGCCAACCATACTTATAATATCAAGTAGAGACAGGCTGTGGTGCACAGCTTGTCTAAGTTATCTTTGGTATGCATGCCTGCAAAGGTTTTGACAGCTGACATTTCCTATTATGGGAAAATATAGAACAGACCTTTGACTATTTAAAAATAGGAAAATATACACAGGATGGTCCAATTTCATCTTAAATTTTGGACCTGGTGTTGACTAGCAAAATTATTTTAGTTCTTCAGATCTTACGTCTAGAATGGCTTGATGTCTTTCCTCTTTGAGACTGAAAACAGTAGATAGAAAACAATAGTTTGGTCACTTTCAAGCACCCAAGATTTAAACATTTTGGTCACCTTCTCCAAAGATCTCGTATATGTCCTTGCTCTAGTACTTTCTGCATAAATTTAAAGATGTGAGACCTAAAAGTTTCTGCTTTTTATGTGTTGTATTCACAAAAATGTACTATTATTATAATTTTGTGCATGACAACGCTGACCTATTTTATAAAGATCTTTGGGGATGAGTCTATTCTGAAGACACCATACACATTAATGTGTTTTGGTTAAATCCTCACAGACTGAAATGAAAACAGACCACTTAGATATGGAACTTCCAGTTTAAATCAGAAAGGTAGATGGCAAGCATTAATTCAAAAACAGGTGGCTTTTTGCTCATAATATTTTATAGCTTTCATTGCTTTACAGTGGAATGAGCTAACCCACAGCTCCCCTCCTGACCCACCAACATCCTCAAATTTAGTGAAAAACAGGTGTTTGATTATCTTAGCTTTCACTTGGAACTCACACAAACACAGAGGCTTCTTTGCAGCCCAAAAAAACTTCTTTCACATAAAACCTGGAAAGCAAACAACAGAGCATGCACCGGAAAACAAGTAAATGTACAACTACCAAAAACATCACAACCTTGAAATGTAAAATACAAGTTGTTGCTCATGTCCAGAAGTTGTAAAAGTTCAAGAACAGAACAATAAAAGCTCTTTCAAAAAACCTCATGGAAATATCTGTAAAACATGGAGTGTTATAAATCAGTCACTTGGTTTTGCCAGATCCATTAAAAACTATTACTAAGACTACACTAATACCCCAACACAAAACCCTAGAAATCTAAAGAAATTTGGATGGGAATTGTGTTGCTGGCAAATCCCTTATCTCAATCCTCCAAAGTTGCAGAAAGCTGGATTTGAATTTGAGTGCATCTCTGTTAAAAATCTTAGAGGCTTTATGTATTTAATGGTCTCTATCTATTACCTCTGACCCAAGGCAATTAACATTTTGAGGGATGTATTTAAGTAACCTTCCTCTCAAGATACCAACTGAGCCACAGAAACTGCAATAGAAAAAGGAAAGACAAATCCTGTTTATCTTAATTACATGAGTTGTTTACTGAAGTTGGCAGGACTATACTTCAAGTGAAATAAGCAGGATTAGGCTAAAAATTTCTAACTGGTTATAACATAAGGAAAATACATATGAAGAGTAATTTTTCTCTTTATGTGCACTCTATGTCTAGTTAATGTTTGTATGTTTATGTGTAATGAAGGATAATGTAGATTAGTGGTTCTCAAGTAGGGTGCTGCAGCGATACTTTAAGTGTATGGCAGGGTACCACCCAATATTAGCACTGTTAGTTGTGCAAAGATTAACTGGATTTCAAATAGGAGTCCATATTGTCAAAAACATTCCCCCTCACTGTGGTTTTTCTCAGCTCTTTTCAACAGAACATTGTCTATTAATTTTTTGCAGTCAAAAAAACAAGTGAAAGCTAAGAGTTGGCACTCTCTGAGGGTTGTCTCAGTCTGAAAAGGTTGAGAAGCCGTGACACAGACAGTACTCAGTTAAGAGGATTACCTATTAAACTAAACCATTCCATTTTTCTGAGATTTATTCTTCCTTTTGTTTCATGATTTGTTCATTAAGTTTGGAAAGTCAGTTATTATTTTCCTCACAAATATATACACTATAAACACACACACATTTATCTAGTAAGAGAGATACTTAGAAGCCATGTACACTTTTAACTAAGGATCCCATTTTTATGATACAGCTCTTTCACACAGATGAGCTACGTAAAATTCAAACCCAGGGTAACCGGGAGCTATTCATTTGAAGTTCTTATGGCTTCTGTATTACACTATGATACATATTGTTGCAACCCCCCGCCCCCCCCCCCCCCCCCCCCCCC